TGAGGGCAATCCTCCCCTAATAAGCCGGTTTTATTAGGTGGAGTTAGGTCCAATATTCCTAACATGGTATCAGAGCTAGGCCCAATTATGCAATGTTGGGTGCCACCCAATATCGATTTGTTCACAGTTGTTTGGCATGATCTACGCTGTGCGTGAGGGAGCGTACTAGAATCCCATATTGCTTGGAAAAATATAAATGATCCACTTTATAAGGTGAATAAGCCGATTTTATTAGGTGGAGTTAGGCTCATCCTAATAGGGTATAGGGTGGAAGACTGCTTGTACACTTGTACTTACACAAGGACCAAATCCATATTTCAGGATTCGAATCCTGGACGCGATCGCCTCAAACAAAGTTGGAGTTTTTCGGCTTCCCCTTTTATGTGCCCTGGGGGGCATGTGTCGGGATTTATTCCAGCGGCGGATAATAAAGAATACTGGTTACAATCAGAGTAGGTGCTTCAGTACAATTGGGGGGTCAAATGCATTTCCTTCCGACAATAAATCCGCAGTCGCTGGATACTGGAATTATAATGTACGGAAATCGGGAATTTTTCCGAACAATCATATTGTTATTGTCCAGAAAAGAGGATTTTTGGGGTGTGGTGATGGCGAGAGGGGAATATGTTAGCTAAAGTCCACGAAGAGAGACGTGTTTTGGGGTATGCTTAGCACTTTTCATTTCTTCTGCTGTGCCCAATTTTGTTTATTTCCTGTATTCATATGGGTGTGTTTCTTTTTCCGGGAGTCGTGATTTTATTTGCATTATGAATTGTTACTAAGATTAAATATTTAGATAGCTTAAATGAATCATGAATTAATTGCCTTTTCTTTAATTTTACATCTCGCTCATGATGATATGCATTTCATTTTGGAAAACCTGTGTGAATTTGTTTGCACAGCACATATTATGAACCTTGCTAGATACATTTTCTTACACCAATTGATACGGGTTTATGATAGATATTCAACTTTGCATCTCAAAAAGTAAGTTACAATGTTCTGGAGTTCTAGATTATCCTCTATTGGTTTGCCATTTGTGAGTAACGGTTTTAAATCCAATTCTATATAGTAGGGTGAACCCTAGAGAAGGTGGATTTTTTTCTCAGATTTACAACAGGGGCAATGGTGCAAACTGTATGAAGATCGAATTTTTCCTGCCCTTGTCTTCATTTTTGCCTTCATTAGCTGGGAAAAAAAAAGGCAATTTCCGTACACAAATATTTATATGAGAAATTTTATTGTCTAGCTTGCACAAACTGGAAACAAAATCCTGAGCTCAACTCCCGAATAGAATGGGGGAGCTGGGAGAGACGAAGCTATGGAGCACACAATTGCAAAAGATTTTTGACTAATTTGAGTCAATACATCATCTAGAAATCAAAACTCATTTTCTGTGAACCTCCGATGCTGTTTCTTGATCGGTAGGTTCTTATTCTAACTATTTCACAAATCTTAGACTTCAAATGCAGCTTCTATGTTTTTCTTTTGGTTGCTAGATGAAGTGACTATCTTTTGATTATTAGATATTCCCCAGAGCAATTATTTGCTGTGGTTGTTGCTGTCGACTTGTATGAGGATTTCGTTCCTTGGTGTCATCGATCAGAGATAATTCGACACCTTCCCGATGGGTCGTTTGACGCTGAGCTAGAAATTGGTTTTAAATTTCTTATTGAAAGTTATGTATCCCACATGGAGTTAAAGAAACCAAAATATGTAAAGGTAAAAATCACTTCGAGTATAAATGGCTTTTCTTCCTTGAAATTATATTTAACATCTCTATCCTGTTCACTTAATTGTTGGCAAGTCATGCTCGCTTGTTTATCTTTTCTCATTTTATTACATTATTTGCATGAGGAAATAATGTTGGTAAACAACATAAACTTTTGTTTATTTTATTTTATTTTTATTTTATTTCATATTTTTCTTAACAAGGATTATCTGCAAGATTTGACTTCAGAGGATATAACTTAAAATGTTGAGATCAAAAGACTATGGCTGGTATCCTTTGCCTATTTGCATCACTTCTCTGTTGAGTACTTGGTTCAAGTTTCCCTTTTCCTACTTCTCTTTTATGTGGGTAAGGGAGGATGGGTGGCAGGTTCAGAAAATCGGAATGATCTCTCCTTGATGTTGAGTGAGATTTCCCAGGTTTCATCCATACACAGTCTTTCACAATTGACTTTAGAAATATATGCTGAATATTTAGAATTTCCTAGTTAATCTGAAATTTCTAGAAGATTATAAACATGATGTAATTTCTTTGATACAAATGGCGTAGCACTAGAAGAAGAAAATTTGAATTTGCAGCCGAATTGGTGAACAAAGTGATGCTTGGAGCTGTATAGTGTTGGAATCTGTTCTTGATTTCATACAATCTATTTATTGATTAGGATGGGTAATTAGAATTAGATTACATAGATGAATTGGATATTTATTGGTTAGGGTTATTGTTATGATGCGTTGATCATGATGATTACTTATCAAAGGATTTTATTTCTTCCTCCGTCTCTCTCTCTCTGGGCATGTGTGTGGTGTACAGGCTCAGTGAACCTATGTTCAATGTCATTCCTATTCCTTTAGAGTTCTAGACTTTAATAAGGATTGTAGATAAGACATGGGGTTAAAGGTGGTAATTGACTTCTCCCCAATTCATTGGCCTAGCAACACTAACGTTACTGTCACGTAGATCATTGATATTCATGTTATAGCCTGTTCATAATTTGAAAAGCTGAGCATTGTTATTGATTTGAAAGCTTGACAAGGGGATGCCAAATTTGTAAGAAAGTGAATTTGCGGGTTTCTCAGCAGAAGATATTAGTTCTGAGAAAATTTCACATTACACTGATTGAGATATTTGAAGTTAAAATGTTGTGAAGGAGAAGACGTCAATTAAATGAGGAAAGATTGCATATGGTTCTGTTCTGTAGTGTTTAGTAGCGGATTAGTAACTTCTGTTGTTGTGAGAAGATTGTTAGAACATTATTGGATTTCATATTACATTCACCACATTTTCTTGTTTGAATGAGGCACAAGGACTCTGTACATAACTGTGGATCCTGAAAAGAAGAAAGAGTAATGAGGATTCTCTGAACATTTTGTTGGTTATGGAAAGTCAAAATTGAGGGACACATTTTCCTTCAATGGATGAGTATGATGCAGGAAAGAGTTGCTGTTCACAGATCTATACCAAACCATGTCTTCTCCAATTAGTTTGGTTCTTTAGTGTCATTGTAATAATTTATATTTTGGGGATGATGGATTGCAAAAATCGATTACATAGATGTCCTAAGCCACCGATCTTATTTTCCTATAAATGTAAAATTATGAGTTTTTTTTACCTTGATAATAGGTGAACGTGTCTTTAGCTCCTGGGTTATTTTAAAAACTTTGTTAAGTTTTTTCACCTTGTGTTTCCCTTTAAATAAACCTGTGTTTTGATGTGAACTGAAGGCTGCATGGGGTTATCTTCCTCTGACTCTCCTGTTTGCATGACTAAGGCTGCATATGCCATAGAAGTGCGGTCTTTGAATTTGAATGTGTAAATATCAACTTAAAATTGATAGAAAAAAATAGTCCAATTTATGTTTTTTTATTTTTTATTTTTTTTATCTGAGAAATTTATATTTTCATATAATGAACTATTTTATAGAATTACCTAACTTCTAATTTCTTAATCTGTTTCTTTTCCTTTCAGACAACTTCTTTCGAAAGCAGCCTTTTTGATCATTTGATTAACATCTGGGAATTTAATGAGGGACCTGTTCCAGGCACCTGCAACCTTTATTTCTTGGTGGACTTCAAGTTTCAATCACCATTTTATCGACAAGTGAGCACCAACTTTGTGTTAATTTGTCGTAGAAGAGTATAAACACAATAATACTTTTATTCTTTTTTAACGGATTAAAAATATTTCCTGTCTGGTTGAATTGTTACAGCATTTAATGCCTGTATCATTGAAAGATGTCTAATTTCCGCTTCACAATACCTAGACCTGTGATAAAGATATTCCACGTTTTGATGATATTCAAAATGGGATTTAAGAAATTTTTCCTTGAATCGTTATGGTAGGGAACATAGATGAGTTATCAGAATTCTTGCCGAGGCAACATCAGAATGATGGAAAGTTTAGGATCTTTCTTGTGCAGTTGTCTGGTGACTATAATATCATCCTTTGTGATTATAGTGATCATTCATTCCCTGCTGTCATCACCCATATAAAGCACTGCACAATCCTTTATTCAGCTGCATGCAGTAGGGCATTAGATCAAATCACATTTCTTCCATCTCGTTTCTTCGATTTCCGACATGGATATGGTATCCTAGTTGAAATGTCTGTGCAGCAAAGTGTACG